CCTTATCTTCATCATCATCATCATCATCATCATCATCATCATCATCATCATCATCATCATCATCATCATCATCATCATCACCACATAATGTTTAAATTGATGAAACAGAAAACACATAATGACTATAGGGTTCTTACCTGCAGAATTACTGCCTACACTTCTGTCTGTTTAAATTTTGTATACTTCCCAATATAAAATATGCTTTTATGTAGGTAAATATATGCCAATATAAAACTATATGACCAATGAAACCATGTATCCACGATAAGAGAAATATTTGCCAGAGTCCGATTATGATACCTACTGAAGGCACTCCATCCATCTATTTGTCACTAATTAATGCTATCACAGACACAGCCATATGACAAACTGACTTCCATAAGCATCACATGACCTGGTCAAATGACCTATTGAAGCATTATGTGGTTAGCTCTTGAGTACAATCAAGATATGACCTGAATAAGGGTTATAAAAAGGCCAGACATGACTTCACAAGCTCTTCTGGTCCAGGAAGGACTGCCAATGCTGCTTGCTAGATTTAACCCTATAATGAGACATGTAAAGAGGCATGTACTTCCAATGATGAAGTTGTCAAATAATGAAGGGATTATTTTAAACAAGGCAAGGATAACTACCACTTTTTCTTCTCCTTCGCCATTCCCAAGTCTTTCCATCCTGATAGCCAAAGTAAAAATCTACTCTGGTCGTTTAAATCAGATTTCTCTTAGCCTGCCTATCCTCCTGTGCCTAATATACTAACTAATCAATATCATTTTATTTTGCAATAGTGCAGGAGTAAACTCATTAAACATCCTCTTCCCCATCTAATGCCTGTTTTGTCTGACGACAGTGTAGTCAATGTTTCTCAGTTATACCTGTTTCTGAGGACACATACAAGCACATCCAAGTGAACTCCAGCCAGAAGCACACTGCTGTTTGGATGCCATGTGTTAAATAAAATAAACTTCCAAGTATTCAGCTACCCTACTGCCCTTTTAATATTTCCACTAAGTCTGTTCATTATTTTACAATCTTGTTTTCTTATTGTCCTGAAAATCTGAATTATGTTCTGTTTTCTCTATTTTCTTGAAGTATTTCTTGAAGTATGTCTTTGTTCTCTTTGAGGTTATTCCAGATTATGACATCATAAATTTTCCCGTCACCTGATAACCACAATAATTTTTATTAATCTTTTGTATGGGTTTTGAACTGCCTTCACAAAATTTATCCTCAGCATATAAATACATACCAATTTAACATGTCTTAACTCCATTATTTAGATATACAACAGTGCTTAACCTGTACATAGATTAGCTTCATGTAAGAGAAAGATATTTTAATTGCTCTTAGTAAGCATATTTTATTTAATGAAAACTGCTTCAAACAGCTCTACTTTCACTGTTTTGCCTGCATAGAGAAACTGAGCTCCATCAAATGCCTAGAAATTTGCCTAGAAATCTAGAATATTTTGGTCACATAAAGAGAAACAAAAGTTATCTGATAATTAGAGGTGAAATAAATGCGAACAGAAATACAAAAAGAAGTTGTTATTGGCTGAAGAACCTTAGAGATGCAACACAGTGGCCAAAATTCTACTGAGTAAAATATGCCTGCATCATCAAATAAGTCTGATGACATCATTGTCAGAGGGACTGCTGGCAACTCATGTTGTGGGTTGCTTGTATTGCCCACAACCTGCCTGCTATCAGTTTCATTGCAGCAGAATCAAATGAGCCCCAGGGCAGAAGCAGAAACTCTTTAATTGCTGACATTCTGCCACTGCTGGTAACATCATTTGGGAGAGAGAGAATGGTGGCAACTAAACAACTTGTGCACAATGTGAGGGTAAGTTGTGGTCAAGTGAGATCTAAGCAGGAACTCTTGAATCACTGGCAATTTCTTCCTGCCAGTAATTGAAGTAATTTGGCCACTATTATTTTTTAAGAACTGCCATATCCAAAGCCGAGATGGCCACAAAAACTTCTGATTTCCAGTAGGAGAAGAAGAAAAAACCTTTAAAAAAGAAATCCTAAACAAGAAATGAACTTTTTGTAGCATTTCAGAGGACGCTACCTAGAATGGAAGGCCAAGCAGATGTTAGTAGATAACATTCCAGAGTTGACACCGAGGTAGACATGATGCCAACTGCCGTATTCACTGTACATATGGTCACTTTTGGTCATATGTGCCTACTATCTGAATCACAGCTACAATTCTTGTATATAATGAATAGCTGATCCACATCATGATGCTGTTGAACTACATCTCGCACCACATCTCTCTACTAATTGAGTTGGCTGAGGCTGGTGAGAGCTAGAGTTTGGAAGGTCCACAGCTCTGTTTTAAAAGAAACAGAATACATTTGGCAGAGGCAGAGCTGTTACCTTGTGGCTAAAGGAAGAACTACACTTTTTTTCTCGACCTAGAAGAAATATCATTTTGAATTATCCTTATACATTGAGACTATCTCTGAAAGGATTGAGTTTTGTGAAAAATAGCAAAAAAAATTATTAAAGATGATCCAATATTATCCTCCAAGAGTATAGATTCTGCTCTAAGGATTAGTATTCTATGTCATAGTTTTAGGGCAGATCAACAAGTAACTGACTAATATGAAATTCTTATAATTTCAGAACAGTTTGAACAGCATGCTCAACATTTTAATTGCATTAGTGTCAAGTTGTCCTTTTTCATTTACATATTAAATGATTCTAGAATTACTAATTAGAAACATACAAACAAAGGGACCTGAAATGAAATAACAAGTTCTAGAATTACTAATTAGAAACATACAAAGGGACCTGAAATGAAATAACAAACCACTTAGAACATATAGAAATATGAGCCAATTTTGAAATGTTGTGTTTCCTTTGCTTTTAAGTCTCTCATTCCTCCCTGTTCCAGGCCACAACAAACGTCTTTTCATATTCCGCAACCATTTCGAAAAAATCATGTTTTGCAAATTTTCTTACCAAGTTCTGTTATGTAAGATTTTCCATCTGATGGTAGAGAAATGTACTGGTTAGAGAAGAAACTGCTTCCATATCCCAAAATGAACCCTTGCAGTTTGGTGCTTGGACTTGGTCGAATATATCTCATGCACACTGCATCACCGGTCACGTTGATCTGAACTTTCAGGCTTTGTCTTTTGGCTGCAGAGACAAAAAACAAAAAATGACATGTTACCTACAGAAACAGCACAAATCTTCTGGCATCAATATAAAATACTCATTCAGCAGCACATATGCAGGGCAAGTCAACAAATGAATGGTAGCCAACGGTATTTCGAAAAACAGTTCAGAGTTATATTATACATGCAAAATGGTGAAGGGGTCCAGTTGCATGAGGACTGGTTCACACAATAAACTGTATAGGTGATGAATTACAGGATGGATCTTTAAACATGGATCTGATGCACTTGTTTAACAGCAATAATGCTGGGAACAGTTGAAGGCACAAAAAGAGGAAGACCAAATAAGAATGGATTGCCTCACTAAAGGAACCCACAGCCTTGAATTTGCAAGAGCTTTGCAGGGCTACTGAGAACAAGAGTTTTTGGAAGTCACTAATTCCCAGGGTTGCCATAAATCAGAAGCAACTTGATGGCACATAAGAACAGCAAGGTAGTGGCGTATGGACATGAAGCTTATGCATGCTAGTTTTAGATATGCTCCTAAAACACACTGCTTTATTTTTATGTGTACACTTTTCACACCCATATTTTCTGTTATATCAGTACTCAGCAAAACCAATAATCCTGCATATTAAAAATACAAAAAATTATACAGCAGAGGATCAGGTAACATCAGTAGGCAATATTCTCACTACTTAAACAAAGGCTTCAAAGCATCAAACTTTGAGTAATCCAGCCACTGTTATGCTGTTTGGAATATCAATCACTCTGACACATTATCCTATCCAGAGCCAGTGTTACAATTTTCAGCAACATTATCCCATCTTGCCTAGCACTTAAACATTCAAATGAATTAAGCTACACTGTCTCATGCACTGCAAGTTGGAGCCAACTTATTATTACCAAATGACATGTAGTGAATTGCTGTTCTGAGCAAAGCTTTTGTCATGAAACAGGCATGTAATTCAATCTACCTCCTGCAGCCGAATTCTGTATTTGTCTATTTAGAAGTGCAATTAGGTTGTACAGGGCTTGCTCCCAGGGCACATGATTGCAGCCTTTACATTATGTATTGGCAGAAGAATTTAAGCCAGATACTGAGATCATTCTGACACTGATTTCAAGCCAATGTACACTCATGCATTCAGGACTTCTCTTTGTAATGCAATCTATGTCATGTATTACAAAGCATTATGTATATATGCTTTCATTTTAAAATGCACGCATGTGTACACTGTATGCACTAAGGACTATATATTAACAACATTTGATATTATCAGTTAAATTTCTGTAATTAAAAAGTTGCTGTTGCCATTGCATTGGAATGTACTGTATATGAATTACTAATAGAAAATGCCAACTAATACAACTCCTTATCTAGAAGTTCAGTCATGGCAATTGGACTTCTTTCTTATCAGGTTGAAACAACTGTTAATGACGCATAACAATGGGTGAAGGACTGCAGAAGTGGGATTTTCATTCATCCCCTGTCCTTTGTCCATCTAATAAGCCTTTTCAGACCAGGGGGAAGTGAAACCAACATGGAATTTATATCAGGGGTCTCCTACCAACTCTCCTCAGATGGAAGAAGCTACTTGGATGAGTAGCGAAATGTTTCAACGTAACAAGAAAAGAGTCCAGTTGCCATGACTCAACTCCAGATAATCTCACCTGGATGACTGAGAATCTTCACAGATCTAACTAGAGATGGGGCATTTGTAAGGTAAAGATTCCCCTTGACATTTTTAGTCCAGTCGTGTCCGACTCTAGGGGGCGGTTCTCATCCCGTTTTCAAGCCGTAGAGCCAGCACTTGTCCGAAGACAGTTTCCGTTGCCACATCGCCAGCGTGACAAGGGAACGCCGTTTTACCTTCCCACCGTAGTGGTACCTATTTATCTACTTGCATTTGCATGCTTTCGAACTGCTACGTTGGCAGGAGCTGGGACAAAGTGACGCGAGCTCACTCTGTCACATGGATTTGATCTTACGACTGCTGGTCTTCTGCGGTTTAGCCCACAGCGCCACCACGTCCCATGGGGCATTTGTATTCATATACAAATACAAATATCTCTGTGCATGTAGACTTAATGTTCTCTTGTTCCCATTAAACAAGTCAAGTTGTAACATGAGTAGGAGTAGTCGCAGTGTTTGTTCACTTTGCCTCTCTTTCTGGGCACATAAGTGAGTAGACAACAATAAAAGTAACAAGCAGACTTACTCAGCGAGGACAAGCAGGGGCCAAAGTTACATTCACAGGACCTATATCAACTATAGCATCCAAATCAGAATTGATTTGACCAATTTTGCCAGCAAGTGTGTGTGTTGTGTGTTTAGTCGTTTAGTCGTGTCCGACTCTTCGTGACCCCATGGACCAGAGCACGCCAGGCCCTGCTGTCTTCTACTGCCTTCCGGAGTTGTGTCAGGTTCATGTTCGTTGCTTCGCAGACACTGTCCAGCCAACAAAGCATTGTGCAAATTCTTCACCATGGGTTATAATGGTCTGTGATTTCTTCTTGTGGCCCGGAATGTAATAGGTTTTGACTACCTGAAAGACTTGCACAGGTGCAATAGTGGTTGAGAAGAATGACTTCTTCACCAGTACTACTGTCATGGAGTAGGCCTTCCAGTGGGTACTAGCCCATGTTCAGCAGAAACCACTTCAAGTTTTCCACCATCATTACTCTAGTCTTTCTCCCACTTGTTTCATCACAGGCAAGGAGCCAGTTTTGGCTCCATTTTGCAGGAGAGACCACTTAGGAGTGATGATGTCAATGGTCCTGGTCATTTCCCATTCCAGAATTCAACCAGGGCTTCAAAATAATTGACTGTTAAGGTGACAGGAAACTCCCCAAGACTTGTCTCTTGGGGCAGACTGTCTTAATCAGTGTCCCACCCCTGCAGAAGATCTGAGATCCAGTGAGTCTATACCCCACCAGGTAATCATGTGTCCATGACAATAGAGCCAGATGAAGTTCCCTCACAATGAGATCACAAAAACACACACCAGTATAGAAAACCAGGTATAAAGTCTGCCATGTGACATGAGTGGGGCCAGATATCACTTAGAATAAATCCATAGCCATCATGGAGGACCTGAAGTCCTGAGTCACTCTTGACAAAGCTGCCTCAGCATGGACATTAAAATCCCCCAGCACAATAAGTTGAGGGGACTCCAATGCCATTCCCAAGACCAACTAGGCTAGCTCAGGATGGGAGACTGTTTAGCACCAAGGTGGACTGGCACCCACTTTTGGATATAAACTCTCAAATCCAGAAAACTCGGGACTATGACATCTGATGAGAGGGGACAGAATTTTGACAGATCACTGAAACTTTGCCTCCTTGATTTTGTATGATACAACAATTTTGTATGATACAATACTGAGATTCCTTGGTGGACAAAGCTGAGTGAGATTAACACCAATCGCAGATCCACCCAATTAGGTCTAGATGATACAACTGAGGTTGGCATGCTCATCCAGGATCAAATCCTATAGTACTGCTGCATCCCCATTTCTTGACTTGGCATTTAGCAGCAGTATTTTCAACCCAGGAGATCTGACGCCAAGGCTATCCTAGCTATTTGAATTTGGGGACAGCATGGGGGCTGTTGCCCTCCCCTCTTTCACATTGTTGGTTGCTGCTTACCCAATAGAGGAAAAATATTATTGCTAAAGTAACAAAGACAACAAAAATTCAATCTACATTTTATTGAGGTTAATAGGAAAAATGTCTACTGCTTCGTATGGAGCTGGCCTATACACAAAGAAAAGAAATTACTGTAGAATGTTGTCTTTCCCATTTCTACAGCCGACTGTGTCTAGCTAGCCAGGAAATAAAGATCAACAAAGGGATAGCTGCATTATTGGTATAGCAATATCAGTACATCTGTACAGTTCCCATGATAGCTGCTGAAATTCGCATGTTAATGTTCATGCTTTAGTCATTACTTTGGGGCTTTGTACTTTTTTATATTTCTCCTCTTCTGCTTTGTCTCTAAAAGTATCTATTACACTGCTGGGGATAAGGGAAAATAACACTGTATATCAAGCTATGTAATACCACAATTTGTTTAATTGAATGAAGTAAGGTTTTTGGTTTAACTCAACTGTCTGGCATCTTCTATTGCTCTGTAATGCAATATCTGACTTAAACACTGACAGGTTACAGTGAAATCTGCTATCCTGTGAGAGAACAGTGCTTACACTGATGGCAGATAACAGATTACCAGCTACATTCTACTAAAAAGTACAGCTTCCTCTTTACTAAGTCTTTTGTACAATATTTTGCCTCAGCATAAATCAGTCCTCAGCATGCACTATCTTCCTTCTCTGTTGAATAAAATGAACAGCATGTAAAGTTTCCTACACTGTATTAGAAACACTGTGGTATTGTTGTTGTTTTTAGGATAATAGATAAATGTTCTCAAGAGAGCTTAGACAATTCAGTTGAACTCTTATATAATGAAATGGCAACATGGTGGCAAAGATCACTTGTGAACCAGGACAGGAAGTTGTCTCATCTTAAAATTTTAGGGAGAGATGCCCCCCACTGAGGAACAAGACATGCTTAGGTGATTGACACAATATTTCCTCGCATCAGGAGCAAACAAGTTCTCTGGTTTTCTAGAGAGTGGGGGATGTTGTTAAGTGTTGGACACAAACTAATAATATATCTGTTTTAAGAGCCTTTGGTGTAAGTTTTTAAGTTTGATTATTTCAAAGGGAGAATCTATATTTAAGGAGCCCACAACCAAGGTTCAATCCCAAGTAGCCGGCTGAAGGTTCACTCAGCCTTTCATCTTTTCAAGCTCACTAAACTGAGTACCCAGCTCCCTGGGAGCAAGGGCAATGTATAGCCTGCATAATTAAATTGTAAACCAGTGGTTCTTAACCTTTGTTACTCGGATGTTTTTGAACTGCAACTCCCAGAAACCCCAGCCAGCACAGTTGGTGGTGAAGGCTTCTGGGAGTTGCAGTCCAAAACTCCTGAGTAACCCAAGGTTAAGAACCAGTGTT